AATAGATAACGACAAACGATCATCATGACATTGCAGCTTCACTGCTTTGTGTTGCTGCTGAACTTCAGTTAGAGCCCAACCCTTTAAATAGGTGAAGTCTTCGTTTGAAAGCTCAACCTCTTCCACACGTTGTATCATTCTACCACATAGTTCAGTAACATTGTGCTGTAGCTTTGTTACAGCATCAATATGACCCGCTATTGCAACTTTATTGTTACCTTGGCCAAGGGCAAATTGCAACCCTTCATCACTGCATTCTTTCATAATCATTTGATAAACTGAACTACTAACTTCTGGGGGAACAGATAAATCGACTTTAGTAAGTGAACTAGAGATAAACTCTTGCATCATATCTATAGCTTTTTCAGGCCAGTCAAAAGGAGAGGAAAGTGAAGGTGATATTGTAATAATACCAGCATCATCTGCAGTAACCTTAACTTGAAACTCCATTTCAATTCCCTTGGTAATGCCAGGTTTTAAACGAACATACTTAGCAAGAAGAGGATCCAATGGATGGTGTACGGGATTAAGTGGAACTTGAGGAGAAGGAACGACCTTGACAAGAGGAGGAGGTGAAGAAGCATCTGATTCATCATCGTCACTGCTGCTACATGTTTTATTATTTTTCTTTTTGGACTTTTTTTGCCCATTCTTCTTATCAAGTCCTTTTACTGGCTTTTCTCCAGTTTTATTGTCTCTTTTGTGGCTTGATTCCTTTTCAATAGGCTCCTCCTCCTCCTCCTCTTCATCTTCAATTGTACTTTCATCTAAAGAGTCCAAGACTAAACATTCAGTAATACTGACACAAGGACCAAGTTTAGGGTGTTTCCTCTTTAAAACTCTCTGAATAACTACATGAGCACAAGTTATATCTAAACATTATTATAAAGTTACATGATACCTGAATGATCTTTAAAAGTCACTTTTGCCTTGTCTTTTCCTAGCATCTCAATTTTCTCAACTACACCGTCTCCTCCTCCACTTTTGGAGCTTTCAAAATAAAGTTCCAAATTATCTTCTGAAGCAAGACCCTTGTTAGTGATGCCAGCAACATAAATACTGTAATTAACTTCACATCTTTCAATAGTCAACTGCTCCTTTCTTCGTGGCAGGTTTTTTGCTCCTAATTTCTCCACCATTTCATTTAGCTCTATTATCATTCAATAATAAATTGGTAAAAGGAACATACACAATACCTTCATCAGTGTAAGAAGATTCTAGAAGCAGTATAGCAACACCAGATCTTAAATCAATTGTGAAATCATCTTCATCTAATCCCAAGTGCTTCTCAATGAATAAAGATAAAACCACTTCTTCCACTCCTTCTGGTATATCCTTGATTATTAACTTGTTCTTATCATATTCCTTTACTGGTGGAAGAGGGACATAGCGAATATCAAGTTTACGAGGCTGCTTTTTAACTTTGATTGAATGTTCCCCATGTGCAATAACAGCTAGTGCATCTATAATTATTTACATAATAATAATGAATTATATAGATGTAATAATAATTATCATCTTACCATCTGGTGATTCAAACTTAACATGAATAACACCCTCTTCAAATGTCTTAATAGATTCAACTACTTTTTCCCTCTTCCCTCCTGAGCGTTTGCTTTCAAAGTACATCTGAATAGCATCAGTATCAATGTCATCATCGAAAGTGACTTCAATCAAATCAGGATAATAATCTAATGTCAATGGAGCATCAGGAGTTGCAGCGACGGTGCTGGTAGAAACACTGGCTGGATCAGGCGGATCTGTAAGCTTGATTTCAATCTGTTGCTTTTTAATTTTGTGCTTATCTTTTAGAAACTCTTTAATACCTGTGAATATTACAAAGTATTAATTTCATTGTCATACAATTTAAATTTAGGGGAAGAAGTAGTGCACAGTGCACAACAAATGAGTAAGTATATTGTTATGTGCCAAATTTTGGGGTGTTTTCTGTGTTTATAGTACTAATCATGGCTGTTTGAATTACAAATATTCATGTCTGCGCACATAAAATAATATTACGACAATTTCATAGCCACAATGGCTACAGCGTGTTCAGTAACCATTTAACTAGAATTTTTGTCACTACACTACAGGATGATGCTAGAACATGCTTATTCATTTATGATGCATTGAAAAAAGTTATGAAATGTAAAGGAAGGAGTTTCTTCTAGTTTTTCAGCCAACTGAAGGTATTGTCTCTTGAGTAAGAAACTAAATTGCATAGGTATCTATTGTGCATGTGCATAAGTAAATTAAGTATACTAATGCTAGTGCAAAAGTAGTAGTAATGCTACTACACAAATTCAATAATGTTGATTCCAAACCAGAAGAGCCACCTAAAAAGGTATACTTATGTGCACTGTTTTTCTTTTTAACTTTTTATTACAATTTCCTCTTCTTCATACTGTACCATATAGCGGGTTTTTTCAAGGATAATAAATTTCATAAATGACACATATCCGGAAGTTTGAGGAATTAATTTTTGCGAATTTCCAGTATTCGGCTGCCATCTTGTACCGTAATAAAAAAATTTAATTTTGCAAATCTTAAAAAATCCACGAAATTTGTTATCCTCAAAAATAACCCACTATATGGTATATATGTAGCTATAAATTCTGTGGCTAGCAATTTTTTTTTGATTTTATTTAGCAAAACTGGGCCTGCTATGGCTTAACAGAAGAGGCAAGTTTAGTTTTAGGAACTCAAATTTTACATTTACAAAATTAGCATAGCCACAAAAATTTTAACTATACAGTATATAGGCACTGGAATCCAGTTTGTGAAACACCCTTGTATAGACCACCCAGAGTGAGAATTGCAAAAGCTATGAATTTCATTAATTTTATAATATGATATCCACCCACACATCATAATTGGCTGCCATTTTGGTTGGCAAGTTTGTTAGGGAAGTCAATGGAGGCACAAAGAAAATGCCTCACTTACCTGCTGTAGCTCTATCAATAGCTAAAAAGTGCTTGCTTTAAGAAAGAATAGCTGCCTTTAAGCTTTTCCTGTAAAAGATTTGGTCAAATTCGCTCCAGAATTCTTAATGCAGGTTTGTTTTGTCAGCCCGTTTGTTCTCCATTGAAAGTTGCCAACAAAAATGACGGCCGGAATTTATTTCATCCTAAAAGCAATTCTCACTCTGGTGGTCTGTAGTCATAATGTATGTGGTTAATTGTTCTATAGACAATGAATGTGTATACTATATAGGATGGGGCCATCCCTGGGAAATTACCTTGATTCCAGTCATAACTTTAAACCATCACATAAATGTTTTATAAACATTTTGTTGACAGTTCTCATGTTAATTTAATTAATTTTTGGAAATCTTTAAAGAATTGCCAAATCTGCAAAATTTACAGCCTCTTGAGAGTTGAGAATTTGTGCTGTACCGTGACTGACTTAGAGCAAATACTGGATTATTATATGCATGCATTACACATGCAAAATTATTAGTTTCTGTAGTAGACAAAATAATTACAATATCAGACTTACTTTCATTATCATCAGCAACTTCAACACGAGCAGTTCCATTTCCAAGTAATACCACATCATTGACTTTATCAAGCGAATTGGACAAGTATCCCTCTACATTACTAGCTGTAACACCATCTATTAATCCAGACAACAACAGGTAGTGTACTGACTCTACTGGTGGCTCTGTGTATAAAAATACATGACAAATAAACACCCATAAGGCATCATCGTGTCACGATCAAGACTAACCATCTTCGGAAGAAGAATCCTTATCACTAGCCATACTCTTACTGTAACACTAACACTGACTGGAGACTCTCACAAAGATTCATGCTTTTGCTTTATAAAGAAAATCGCGTGCAACTGTTGATTCCCATAGGAATTACCGGGTTATTCCCCGTAAACGACCACAATGACTTGCAAATTGCAAAATAAATTCACAGAATACTAATAAATATTACATCTGCTCTTCATTAAAGGGACGACACGTTCACGGAAATAGAATGCACACGTTACTGTAGAGGAAGTAAACATTAAATTGGGCGTGCGACAGATCATTAATTAATAGTTATGACACGTGTTTAGACACGCGTAGAGAGTAGAGACAGCAATCAGTCGCAGAACCGGGAGTAGGCATCTGTAGAACACTTCTCTCGAACAGAATTAGCTCTTTTGCCACCCCAAGATACTCTTTTTAGTGAAGAAACGCCAGGAATATTTACAAGTAGCCACTCGAGTAGCCATTTTGCCTTAATTATTAGGGGCGCAGCCGCACGTTATGAATAGTTATCAAAACTAAACGTCATCATTAATGATGTCATCTTGAAAAACGGGCCAGTTTTTCAAGATGACGTGATTCCGTGCATGTGTCTCTTTAAATTAAATTGACAATGATAAAAAAATTTAAAAGTCTTTGCTAGGAAGCTCAGACCACTACACAGACTAATAGCAGGTAGAAAGAGGTTGGTCTGAGCTAGACTCAGGAAAAATAATTAGCTCTCACTCTTCGATGAGCTATCTGTTTTTCACTCTTTCTATGAAATAGATATTAATAATAATAATAGTAATAATAATAATAATAATAATATAATAATTACCATTCAGATCTACTTTATCACTGCTGCTGAATTGCCTGGAAAACAACCAGTCTTAAAAATAAAATAACAAAACACTATTATCATCATTATTAATCTTTTAAATTTTATGTATGTTTATAAGTTGCATAGTGTAAACAACTACCAGTAGAAATAATGATACTGAGCAGTACTTCACTGTAAAAAATGATCCAAAAAAGGAAAAAATTGCTGCAAAAATGAAAAT